AAAAGAATAGCATTGTATTGTTCCCCTGGCTGGAAGTTGCCTGTTAGTAAGAGTAACTGTTAGCCTAGCATTAGGGGGTGAATTTCCTTTTTTGATTTTTTTGTTTTCGCTTGCTTAGACCTCAACCAAATAGCTTGTGAACCTTCGGCCACAACAGTCCCGCCCCCTTGATAAACGACCAATCATATTCACTTTATTCACGCGTGTAAAGTCGGGCAGCGGTTGGAGCAGCCGCTTCCGTACGACTTTAAAGACCATCTGTAGCAAAACCCCATTACAAACAGCTGGAGAATAATAAAAACACAAGCATAAAGTGGCTTAGGCAGTACAATGTGTTCATTTATTATGGTCAGCTTGTTCTATGTTTACGATCAGAAGGACTGTTCATTTTCTTTCTGCCCTTCACTTGTTTTCATGAATCCCCAGTGACCAAACTCGTCCTTTTAATCTCAATAAACAGCAGCAGCTGATGTTGACAGAAACGTGCCAATAATCAGAAGCTTGAACTAAAGCCATCTCTAATTAGAGGCACAGACAATGTGATAAAGATAAAATAGTTTAACAGCATTACTATCTTATTTCACCGCGTTTTGTTCTATAATAAATAACCTAAACATCAGGAGGTCGCCTGTGCTGTCCATTTCCTTTGCTTCTTTAAAAATCTTTGTTTCGGTTTATAGTCAGTGAAGGTGGCATTGATCTACAGAATTTATGTCCCACCGCTGTGTTATTTTATGATTTGTGCATGTTAAAAAGGGACACATGACAACCTGGCCTTGTAAATAAGGAGATAATGTATAAATACGTCAGATGAGAGAGCAGGCGGGGCCACTTTTCATGGTTTTATTTCAGACGTAGTTGGATGAAGGATTGTCCCGCAGATAAACGAAGGCCTCATTTAATGCAGCTGGAGGAAGAAACTTCCTTCAAACTAGGGAGACTTTTGAAGTGTGACTGATGAGAAAACTGCAGTAAAAAAATTTGTTATTTTTTACTCATTTAACAGTGTAGTAAAAGATAAACTATTACATGCAGAAATGAATAGAGGTCAGGTGACCTCCTGGATGAGACAATCACGCAGTCTTGGAGTAATTTTAATGCTCCTCTTGTTCCCAAAGCTTCAGAAATGGCTTAATAACACTGATTGATGGCAGTGATTGTTTCCTATTAAGTGATTTTGAGGTTTAGTGGGTCCGATCTGGGTGTAGATGTGAACTTTGACCCCAAAACGTCATATTAAAATATCAATGTTTGTGTGTTTACATTTCACTGTTCAGTACTTCTTACTCTGAGATCAAATAAATAACGTCAGATTTAATTTTTTTGCCTCCATCTTTCCAGAGGATTCAGACCGTGAGCGCGACGGACCCCGACGAGCCGCTCGGAGGCCATCGCTTCGTCTTCAGTCTGGCCCCAGAGGCCAACGGCAAGGCAAACTTCTCTGTTCGTGACAACAAAGGTACAAACATTTTATTTAATGCGGGGGGTGAAGACTCACATCAGCACAAACTTTAGTACATTTTAATTGGGAGTTTAAATGACAGAATAAGAAAGAAAAACATTTGGTTTAGCTGGAATGTTTTCCACATCCTTGAATAAACTCAAGGGTGTGAATACTTTTTAGGAGGTGAATGCTTTATTAGTGATGCCCTAAATCTTTCCCAGATAACACCGCCTGGATCCTAACCCGGAGGAACAGCTACAACAGCCTCCAGAAGAGCATCTACCACGTTCCCGTGGTGATCACGGACGGAGAGTTCCCGGAGCAGAGCAGCACCAACACGCTCACCATCAGGGTGTGCACCTGCGACCGCGAGGGCAACATGAAGCTGTGCAACCCCGAAGCGCTGACGGCGAGGGCGGGGCTCAGCACCGGCGCCCTGGTGGCCATTCTGCTCTGCGTCGTCATTCTGCTCAGTGAGTTGTGCTGCAGGAGTCTGAGCCCTGGCAGGTGTTTCAGAGGCGGTTTCATATTTCACTTCTTAATTTGAACCGTCTCCTCTGGTGGGCGGATTATCGCGTCAGGAGCAGCAGCTGTGGTCGTAATTTAGTTTGAGGCAACAGTGACTGACAGCATCAGAGTTTAACTGGTTTCAGAATGAAAAACAAACCTTTAAAGGTGAAGAGATAATTAGAATAACATTTCAAATATATATTAAAACGGCAATTGATAGATTGTGATAAATCCTAGCAGGTTACACTAACATCTGGACTCATTATGATGAAGGATGACCTGGCTAAAAATAAAATAATCTCACTCTGTTATAAAAGACTTTAATCCATCTAAAGAATAAATTATTTGATCATTAGAGTCACTTGTTGGCTCTTTTGAGACTTTTCTTATTACAGAATAAACATCACATACGTATATTAATGTTTTACCTTTAATTAGAGAACGGGCCAAATAATGGCTCTGATTGGTGATCAGCAGGTCGAAAAGAAAACAATCAGACTGAATTAAAGTGAAGACCATCTTAGGTCTGCATAGACTTCAAAGCTCTTTGAAAAACATGCAATCTATTCCTTTTTCTTTGCATCTAAGAAACTTTTTCCATCAAAGAAGCTGCAGCTCATGCCGTCCTCAGATGTTCCTGGTTTGAAGGAATGAAAATATTGCCTGTAAAGGGATACATTGGCGGATTTGTGGCTAAAATAAACCCATTTTTATGTTTTAATGTAGTTAAATGATTATTATTAATGCTAAATGGTTTAAGTTATACTTTAGAGTAAAAGCTGACTAATTAAAAATCAGTTTCCAAATATTTCTATTTGGGTTCTGCTCCTTTTTTTAATTTACTTTATAGCAACAGATGGAGAAGGGGCAGAGCCTAATCTAGATGAACAAACCTCTGTCCATCTGGAACTTTCTCAGGCATCTCAAAGCAGCAGAAACAGCAGGATAGAAAGTTAGCCCGACTGCTACATGTGCTGCTAATCCATCAGCTCATTTACGTATGCACAACCAGATATACATGCGGAGGGCCATAAATAATCTAATTCTGGTACTAAAATGACTTATTTCTATCCTTAACTCATCAAATAATGCTAATAAACAACTTTAAAAAAAATGTTTTATGACTTTTCTGGGACGATTTGATGCTTTCAACATTTCTCCGTTTTTTGTGTGAAGTCATCATCGAACAAGCTCAGAGCAGTCTGCATTTAAGTTGTTTCTTTCTTTAGATTGCACACTTTATACCATACGGTTAACACAAAAGGAAAAAAAAAAACTCAAAAATAATAGATTTATATTTAAATCCAAACCGGAGAAAGTTAGCTCCCGGAAGTAGCGTAGGATCCAACTTCCGGTACAGATCGGGCAGAGTGGACTGATAAAAGGAAGGATTTTAATGCATTTTATATTCTCAGGAAATATTATTAGCCTTTAACACATTATAGTTTAGTATGCTTACTATTTTCAAGGAGGGAAAATGTTTTTTAGGATTTTTTTATAAAATTGCACATGTGCCAATGATCTGATGATACGGATGGAGTAGTGACTGTACCAACCCTTCGCTCGCTTAGACCAGAGGCTTTTATAAAAAATATTTTCTAGTATTACACATCAGCACATTGATAAAGAACTGATCTGGATCAGGTTTCCGTTTTAGAAGCAGATTCTCCTTTAAAATAGTAAAATGAACTTTAAAAACCTAATCACTGCAGCGAACCCGTTGGGATCACATTGTTAGTCATCAGACACTTTTTGAGGTGTCATTTCCTGTCTGTGATTTTAATTTAAAGTTGAAGTCATTTTTTATTAAGATATATTTTTAGAGGGAATTATTAACTGCAGGTCATGGACTGAGGTAGACGGGAACCTTTGTATTTTTTTCTGCTGGATCAGATGGTTAAACATGTTTGATCGAGCACAAAGAGGCCTGCATCTGATCTTCAGAAGCTAAGATGCAGCTGATGCTCTAGGTTCTTCCATGTTGTGTAGAAGTGGTGGCCCTGAGCGAGAACCGATGCATAATGCATCTCTCTGCTACCAGATTGTGATGTACAAAGTCCCTGAACATCAGTGGAGGAAAACAGCAATTCCCTGTGGACGGTCAGCGGCCTTCACAGCAGAGGGAGTGAGAGTCTGAGTTGTCTTTGTTTCTGCTCTGCTGCAGTGATCGTGGTGCTGTTCGCCGCCCTGAGGAGGCAGAGGAAGAAGGAGCCTCTGATCATCTCCAAAGAGGATGTCAGGGACAACGTCGTCAGCTACAACGACGAGGGCGGAGGAGAGGAGGACACTCAGGCCTTTGATATCTGCACGCTGCGCAACCCGGAGGCCATCGAGGAGAGCAAACAGAGGCGGGACATCATCCCCGAGACCTTCTACCCTCCGGTTCGACGGCCCGTGGTGCCGCCGCCGAGCCGGGACAATAACGGCGACGTGAGAGACTTCATCAACCAGCGGCTGCAGGATAACGACAGCGACCCGACGGCGCCGCCTTACGACTCGCTGGCCACCTACGCCTACGAGGGAAACGGCTCCGTGGCGGAGTCCCTCAGCTCGCTGGAGTCGGTGACCACCGAGGGCGACCAGGACTACAACTACCTGAGCGAGTGGGGGCCCCGATTTAAGAAGCTGGCGGACATGTACGGCGGCGACGACAGCGACTCCTAACAAGAGCCTGGCACACGGACGGAAAGCGTGGCGTAAAAACCCGAACGTTCAGGCGGTTTGGCCCTGCGGACACGCCGTCGGTGGAACGTTGAGAAGAACCGGCCGGCGGCGTCCTGTCGTCCCTCCGGTGACCAGACGTAGGCTTTGTGTGTCCAGTCAGTGTTAGTTGCGTTTTTTGCAGGGACGCAGTGAAGACTCTTTTTGTGTGTGTAAACAGGGTCCAAACCAGACCCAAATATATCGACAGATTTTATTTGGTTGTTTCTTTTTTTCCAAAGCTGCCTGTGACTTACGGACTCCCTACAAGCAGTTTGGTTACCTACAGATATGCCGACGTATTTTTCAGTGTTTCTGAGACTTAAACTAAATGCTGCATATTGTGAGTTCTATCTTAGCTTGTGTATGTACGGTTATATGATACAATCCGCTGTACAGTTTTCTTTTTTATCTCACCTCCAGTTTGACCTGAATCCAACTCAATTCATCCAGGAGGTACAGTTTGTCAAACCTTCACAAGAAGCTGTGTGTAAGCAGCTCTGAGGTCTTTGAGTTAAAATACCAAATATTTCCTCAATATGGAGGAATGTCATCAGTTTCTCTCTGATCCACTGAAGAAAATATTGTTTTTTTTGCTAAATTCATGAGACAAAAGGTCCAAAAAGTTGAAAAACTGTCCTGTTTTACCTTGGCTAGAACTTTTTATGTGGTGTTTGATTCTTCCTCCTAGAACAGAAGAAAATTCTGTAGCACCTTTCTCAGTGAAACTGAGTTATAACTACACTACAGGTACATCTTAATAGATTAGAATATGATCCAAAACTGTTTCTATTTCAGAAAATTACATTAAAAGAAATCTATAAATACCTACACTTGACATTTTCTGTTAAATTTTGATAAAGGCTAATAAAAAAGTTAAGTTTTGTGGCCACTCCCACAAAACGTGAAAATATCCCCAAAGATACAAGATGTCATTGCTAAAATAACTAATAGCAAACAATGGAAAATTTAGTGGAGGGAAAACATGATAGAGGGATGAATGTGGAAGCCCAAAGGGAAAAGTGTAGCTATGAAGGATTATGATTTTGATTCTTACCTGACCTAAAGACCTGATTGACCAATACTTGGTGCTCCGCATCGCTTTCTAACAGATAAATTTGAATTTCAGTTGAAAATCGGAGTCTGAAAAACACTGCTACTGTTAGTAAACGTTCTCATCTGTAGGCCATTTCTGTCTCAAACATCCTTTTTTATTGGTATAAACTACATTTTTCTTATTGGCTAACAGAAATAAACATTGCAAAGACGTCACTCTGTGTAATCAATCTATTAAACTTCATTGTTAGACTGAAATTGTAACAATGAAGATTTAATGATGTAACAAGGATCAGGTGGAGCTGGTAGGTCTCTACAAAGTTGATATATTTAAAGAAAGTGGAACTCTTTAGTTAAATTGATCTATCCTGAATTTACAGAGTCTTTTCTATTATAAAGTGTTTTTTTATTTTGATATAAAAGTCAGAATGATTCAAAATATTTGATGAATGTTTCCCCTCAAAATTAAAAATTGCTGCCCTCTAGATCATTGAAAGCAAGAAAGAAAATCTACAGTGTCGTGCGAGTCTGTTTGCCCTGCTCAGGCAGTTGCGCAATAGAGATGTGCCAAAAAGCAAAGATCACCAGTATTTTCCTTTACAAAACGCCTCCCATGGCTGTAGTCCTAATTACATGCACTGTACCTCGCTCCGGAGCCAGAGCAAACGCTTCGGCTTTACCCAGCTGATTTCCTGCGGGACCTCCAGCCTCCTCCATAAAGATGCTTATCGAAGGGGCACCTGACCTTTGAGCGGAGCAGAATTAGGCTTTTAAACCCAGAAGATTGTCCTCGGCTCGTGGAGAAGGTCAGCGCATCGACGAGGACACACGAGAGGTTCGCTTTAAATGCGATTTATGAAACAAAGGAAAACCATCCTAGAGCTGCGGCGTTACAGAGTTCATTGAGGACCTCCTAAAGATGAGTAAACAGCTCTGAGTTCAGCCTTGTGTCTGTTTCTGAGAGGGCAAAGTCATACGTATCAGCAGAAACAGAAAAAAAAAAACATGGGTACAACATGCTCTGCCCTCGCTTTAACAAAAGGCCAACCTGTGAAGAGGCTGACATTTGTCAGACATTTAGAACAGAAATAACACCATGGCATAATTGCCACAGAGCTACTTTCTTCTCTCCATCTGTAATGCTGCAGTCTATTAAACACACTGGCTGATTATAGAGGCTGGAAAACTATGAGAGGCTACTAGAGCTGTGCGCTCTTTTGTTTATTTGCTTTCCTCTGAACTTCTCATTGTGAGTTTTCAGGCTGAAGCAGTGTTGCTATGATAAGCATTAAGTCATCAACACTTCAAAGGGCCATCACTGCACCAAATCTGTTGGTCCGCCTCCAAGAAAATAGTTGAACTCTATATAGCGCCTAGGCTAAATACAAAGAGCTAGAGGTTTATTTTATAGATAGTTCAGGCTAACCCTGATAACTCAGCAACCAGTGGTGACCAATGAAAAGCTGGCATCGCATACAGTGGTCCCAACGACCTCAGGTGAAAATGTATAGGAAATCATCTATAGCATGCAGAAAACAAAAGGATAATTAGCTTTTACCAAGATAAAACTAACAGTATCATGGTTTTATTTTTTTTTGTTATAAATCTAATCAATATAACTCTTTGGTCAATGTAACATGCCAACATCTGCGATTCAATTACTGAAGCTAAATCTTTAATAACAGGCAGTCCAATACCATATATGGCAGATTTGTGTTTAGAATGGAAATGTAGCTCATTATTGCCGCTATTACCGCTATATAAATATGGCAGCCATATTGGCTTTTGAAGCCCGGGTGCTAAAGAAACCTTTGACTTAAAAAGGCGTTCTAGTTGAGTCTGCCAATTTGAAAATCTAAAAATCAACATTGGATTAGATTCTTGCAATGAAATGTATGACGGAGTATTAGGGCCAGCCTAAAGATAATATTTTCTTCTATTTCGAGAACAAAGTCGTAACATTACGAGAATAAAGTCGTAAAATTACGAGAATAAAGTTGTAACATTACCAGAATAAAGTCGTAACATTACCAGAATAAAGTCGTAACATTACCAGAATAAAGTCGTAACATTACCAGCATAAAGTCGTAATATTATGAGAATAAAGTAATATTACTAGAACAAAGTCGTAACATTACGAGAATAAAGTTGTAACATTGCCAGAATAAAGTCGTAACATTACCAGAATAGTCTCTTGTCAACTTGTTTCTCATAATTTTGGGACTTTAATCTCCTACTAAATTCCGACTATTCTCGTTGTGACTTTTTTCTTGTAATGTTACGACTTTATTCCCGTAATTTTACAACTTTATTCTCAAAATAGAAGGGGAAAAAAAATCTCTAGCTTGGCCCTAACACTCTGTCATAGAAATGCACAGTTAAAACGATAAATATGTTATAGCAGACACAAAATGTTAACGTTATCATCAATACGTACATGCTAATGATGCTTTCCACATGCTAATGATGATCGTAATCAGCAAGTATTTAATGAGAACCCCTGAGGAAAAAAAGTTGAATTATCTTCTGTTAGCTAGCATTTTAGGACAAAACCGAGAACATTTCAGTGTGTCGGTCTTACGATGGTAACGTAATCTTATGTTCAGAAGAGCTCTTCTAACACGACTCAAAGTTAGCAACATCTCCCTTTGCTCGATCTAAACTGGGACAGCTATTCAGACAAAGAGCTACGAGTCTTTTTATATGTGGTCCAGTAGACTTTCCTTTTTGTTGATCATTTTAAGGGAGAAGGTTAATAACAGTCACAATTTCAAGCTGGTCTTTAGCATAACGGTACTAGGAATTAGCATCATTAGCATTACAATTATTACTTAGCACTATCCAGCTTACGGGTTATACTAATTAGCATCCAGATAGCACACAATTAGCCTTTCAATGTTTCTCTGTACTGTTTTGAACAATTTCCTAGATACAAAATGACTTTTTGGTTGGTTCTATTATTATTATCCATATATTATCATTATAACTTTGAGGCAGTTGCTAATAAAACCATGTTACTGACTGTCTTGCTAGACTCAAAAATTACAGTGCAAACCATAGCGCATTCCTAATGCTAGTTCTGCTAATTTATTAGCTTTCAACATGCTAATGATTTGGCTCTTTCACATGTTGAAAGGGACAACTAGCAACCTAAAGCTAGCTGTGTTAGCAGTTTACATTCATCAAGTCTGGTAGTCAGATCCTGCAAACAAATAAATTTTTTTAGACAAACGGTTCTTATTTTGTCAACATTTCTGGTTGCTCTGTTATTAAGGCTAGCTAAAAATGAGAAGGATAACTAGCTGGTTTTAACAGAGCTGTGACTTTCGGCTACAGTTTGTCCGTGATTTACACCACACAGCTCAGAATCTCTAAGTGTCCCCTTTGGTTTTCATATTTGCTGTTTTCATATGGGGTATAAGCATATCACCAACACTGAGAACTGTTTGTGTTTTTACAACGAATGAAACTGCCTCCATAATAATGAGCCACACCACTTTTTTTATTTTTTTGTTTCCAATGTGTGAGGTTCTTTCTGAGGGAACTGGTTGGAAACACTGAAGTGCGGATGCAGTAGATCTGTGGTTGTTGATGTGCAGACGAGGTTGCCCTCGGGCCTCGCCTCTTCTATGCTATAACTCTGTCGGTGGCAATGTGGTTCAGCAGTCACGTTTTGTTTATGTAGAAACGATCCGAGAACTAGTGGTAGTCTAAGGGGGGCCCGACGTGACCGGCCATTCATCACTCTGCTTTGTAAACCGTGATATTTTGTACTGAATATTTATATGACACGATTAAATATGTTTAAAATGAGTCCGTCTCAATGAGGTCTTCTTGCCAAACAGACAACTCTGACGGATGGAAACTTTAATTTGAAAAATGTGACGGCAGCCGCAGGCAAAAGCACACCAGACACTCTCCAGCCCTCACAGGTATGTACGCTTTATCCGTAATGAATCTCAATATAAAAGACTCAACTCAACACAGATAAGTTATTAATATGTCTGCCGTTGTTAAATAGCTAGATCCAGAGGCGACAGAGCCGGGGAAATTGTTAATTAGACAATCTATAATTAAGATCAGTGAGACAGCCAATTGGATCTCAAGTGAGATGATTAAAAAAATGAATGAAGGGTGGAAAACTTTTTATTATTATTATTGGCAGATAAGTAGCAGATGGTGACACTGTTGGTGTAATCGACCCTCTTTAGAGTTTTTGTCTCATCAGAAGTAAATAAAAGCAGATTGCTGGTGATTCATTTTAAAACTTTATTTATTTAACATCTCATATTCAATTTTATGAAAACTTTATTTCTTATTGTTGGTTTGTTTCTGTAACACATTTCTGAAAAGTACTTTCCAACCACAGTTTTAGAAAACAAGAAGGCGACGGTTGAAGAGTCAAACATGACATCTCTCTCTCTGACTCCTAACAGCATCTCAGTACCTGCAGTACCTCGTCTTCACTAACTCTCCCTTGAACTGCTGCCACTTTTCTGCTCCTTGATCCACCAAACGAGGCGCCGTCACTTCCTGCCCTCCGCCGCCTCGTCGGTCTCCTTTTCCTGACGCTCTCGCTCCCGTCTCATCTCCTTCAGCTCCTGACGGTATTTCCGCTCAATGAAGCGCTTCTGATGAGCCATCTG